TTATATTATTTGTGGCTATTGTAAAGGGTGATGCTTCTCTGACTTCTTTGCATTTTCTTAATTAGTGATAGAGAAGGGACAAGTCCATTATGGGCAGTGTCATCTCTGGGCTGGTGATCCTAGGTTCTATAAGAAAGCAGCCTGAGCAAGCCATTGAGAGCAAGTCATGGCCTCTGTATCAGCTCCTGCCTCCAGGTTCCTGTCCTGTTTGAGATCCTGTCCTGACGTCCGTCAGTGATGGACGATGATGTGGAAGTGTAAGCCAAATAAACCCTTTCCTCCCCACGTTTTCGGTTATGGTGTTTCATCACGGCAATAGTAACCCTAACTAAGACGCCCACAGAGGACCGATTGGCATGGAGAAAACCAGCGGTCGGAGAGGCAAGGTGGTGGCACACACAGCAGCAGTCCCTGCTTGTGTCATTAAGTTCCCCGACCATTTAGAAATGAGGGCCAGGGTTTCATTTGGAGCTTCCACTGGACACACAGAGAGAGCTTCCAAAACAAAGCACCAGCCAGGAAAGATGGCCAGGGGCTTCTTAACTATCTTAACCGGTCTCCAAGTCTCCTGCAAGAGGAGGAGCTACAGCATTCTTGGTTTGGGTGGGTCTGGAGACAGAACCCATGACATCAACCATGTCTGGCCAAACACCCTATCACTGAGCCATGTTACATCCCATCCTAAAGCTTATTTTATTATTTTGAGACAAGGCCTCAGCGAGTTGCCCCAGCTGGCCTCAAATGAGCGCTCCTCTTGCCTCGGGTTTCCAGCAGCTGGGATTACAGGCTATGCCTTCTCTTCCCATAGTTTCCTGAACTTTTTTTTAAAGGAGGTGAAGGCAAACTCCAGATTTTCTTCCCTGCCTTTGTCTACCGGATATACACTTGGGCAAGTGATACAGTCATCAGACCTCCATTTCCCTCTCTGCAAAATAATGATTTCTTTTACCTCCTTCCAAAGGTCATTGTGGAGTCAAATAAATTAGTATATAGGAAAAGTCCTAGCAAAGACCTTGGCGTGTGGGTAATTGTCAATGCTAGATGCCCACTGATGGCCTAGGACAAATCAATCTCTGTAAGAACCAAGAAGAGGGGCAACAGACAGGCAAGAAAGCCAGATGTGAAGAGTTAGAACTTCCTCCTAGGAACGCTTGAATGTCATAGGAGAGGTATGGGGCCAAGGCCTTAGGGACGGGGTGACCTCAGGCACTGTCTCCAGTCAGCTGCATCAGTCTCCAGACTGGAAGGAAGGAGGGGAGTCATTTTTGTCTGTCTAGGGGGCCAATTTCACTAGGATCCCTCTCACAGCCTGTGTGTGGCTGAGTACACGCCATCTCCCCCCCCCCCCAATAACTTGAGGCCTCAGTACTTACGAAATCTCAGAATAAAAGCAGTGAGCCACGGTGAGGATCCACCACTCGCTGATAATGGAGCCGCCACATAAATGATGATTCATTTCTCGAATGCTCACCTGCCACGGAAACTCACCCACCTCAGCCTCCTGCCCTCCTATGATCCTGGAGTGTCGAGTTCTGCTGTCGTAGAGGGGTCTCACGCCACATTCTGAAGGAATGCGAAGCCAAAGGGAAAGACAGACTGTCAGTCAACCTGTGGCAGGCCAGGCTGGGTCTAGCTTGGGGAGAGAAATCCCTGGGGATGTTCTGAGGCCAGGACACCAAGGCTCCCCCGCTGTGACAGGAAGGAGCCTACGGCTCTGGCTGTGGGGTGGAGGTGTTGGCTCTGTCCACATCCTGCATGGGCTCTCAGGACGGCAGCTTTACCAAGCCTGTTTCTAACCAGTGAACCCGGAAGAAAATTCTTTCAGAAGCCGACTCCTATGGGGTGGGCAGAGCGGGACCACCAGAGGCACACACCAGGTCTAGCAACTGTGTCACGGGACTGGCAAATCTCTCCCCTTACAAAGCAACAGAGATCTGTGGGATGGAATGAACCTGCTGGTCGTCAAATGGCTGGTGGCGTGGTCTTGTCATCCTCAAGGCCCTGAAGAAAACAGAGGCGTGGTGGGGAGGTGGCTCAGGTGGCAAACCTCTCACCACTCAAGCACAAGGTCCTGAGTCGGAGCCCCCAGAAGCCACGTAAAAATATCCAGGTGTGGTAGTATGGCTGTACCATCAGTGCTGGGGAGGCAAAGACAGGCATGATCCTGGGGGTTCAGCCAGCCCCACCTACTCGGTGAATTCTAGGCCAATGATGGCACCCTGTCACAAAAGACAAGGTGGACGGTAGCCGAGGAACAACCCTTGAGTTCGTCCTTGGACCTTTACACACACACGTGCATACATATGTGCACTGCCCCAAACAGGCAAACACACACACACACACACACACACACACACACACACACACACACACACACACACACACACACACACACACACACACACACAGAAGGGAGACTCAAGACAAAGAGAGATACTACAGCGCTGACTCCGAGGAAGGAAGCAAAGATCCAGACCAGCCACTCAACGTCAGAACATGGACAGTGGCAATTCTCCCCCACTGCTCAGGCCGGGCATGGTCCTATCCACCCTCGCCTTCACCCTGGGATCCCCACATTGTACTTCTACCCTACGGACCACGGAGAAGAAGCTGGTGGGACTTGAACCACCCAGCCTGTGATGATGTGACAGGAGCCCTGGGTAAGGAAGAGGTGCACAAGACCCCCACGGAGTCATGAAAAGTGCCAGAAGCCACTAGAAGCCTTTAGTATTGTCATCTGGTCCATATAGGACAGCTGTGCCGCTCAGCAGCTGGCGGCAGAGGCTGCAGCTGCTGGGCTGTGAAAGAAAGCCGAGACTTGGCAGTGTATGTCAAGAGCCTTAAGCGGTCTGTAACACACAAATGTCTTCTCCTGGGCTTTTGACCTTGACATCCTCTTTGTTCACCAAACACACTCACGGTGCTCACCTTGGGTCTGACACTGTTAGAGGCGCTGCAGAAAGATGAACTCATGTTCCTTTTCACGATCACACTGAAGTAGTGCTGCCTCAGACAAAGGTGAATTGTCCAAGAGCACACAGCCTAGTCAGTGGCCTGACCCAAATCTAAAGCCAGGCCACCTGCTTCTCAGTTACTCTGTGCCTGGAATGTTCGCTCCTTGGTGGCCTGCTTGCTCTCTGTGTTTAGGCTTTCCCTACAAGAATCACTTCTTCAGTGACGCTTCCTCCAACATGACCCTGTGCCCTGGCCATTCCATGTTGTCTGCTGCCTTAGCTGTCTCCATTGCGTTACAGTGGACACCAGCTCGTTGCGGAGCCCTTCTGTCTGCCACTGACCCCAGAATGCCAGCTCCAAGTGGAGAAAGCAGCATGCATGTCTTGGTGATGCTGTGTCTTCAGGATGGGGCCATACCACCTGTCAGAGAGGCACTCAATGACCAGGAGACTCAATCCTCTAACAGAAGGATTCTGTGCTAGAACTGTCGTAAGGGGAAAATCTGGGTATTGGAAGACGTCCCTTGGGGGGGGGGGGTCACAACAGCAACAGACGGAAGACAAGCTGGTGTCATGGTATCTGTGCCCTGAACTATCTCTCAGCCATGTAAATGAGGCTCATGGGGAGTTTCTAGTGATGTGGGGGAGGTACCTGTGATATAAACTTGAATGAAAAGATCAGGATCAGGATATGAATCAGACTTGAGCGGGCAGTGAGCTGGCTCGGTGGTTAAAGCCATTGTTGCCAAGGCTTATGGTCTGAGTTCCACTCCAGGGGAACTAAATGGTGTAAGGAGGCGGCTGATTCCCACAGCTGCTCTCTGACCTCCGCATGTGTGCTATGAGGCACACACACACACACACACATACACACACACACACACACACACACACACACACACACACACACTAAATTAAAATGCAATAACTTCAACAAATCGTATTTGAACCTTATGTGATTTATCTTGTTAGAAATGTGGGCCCATGTGAGGAAGCCAATACATCGAGATAACCCCCCAGAGAGAGGCTTGACTGACTGATTGGCCAGTGAGTGTCTGTTCCAGGCCCCTCTCTCTGATGCAGCTACAGAATTGGCTAGGGGCTAGGTTCTGGGCAGACAGCAGAGGTCGGTTTGTGATCTCCTTATCCAATGACTCAAGGGAACACTGCTTAGCCTGGCTCATCTCCTCCCTTCTCATCCCTATGATGGGCGTGAGGCTCCACCCCACCAGGCTAGCCTACGGATCCAATGTGGTGATGGTGTTTGAAGGGCCCCTCAAAGTGCTTGGCACGGAGCAAAATCCTCAAGCCACAGTTGGTTCGGGACTTCTCAGGTCCGTTTTGCGCCGAAGCCCCCATGGAACTGGCAGAAAATTCCACTCTCTACATCCTTGGTCCTGAGAACACCCCCATAACACCAACGTGGAAGCAGCCAGAACACCAAACCTGAAGGCAACATCAGCGGCCCCCACAGGGAGGGGTCATTCGAGTGACTTGGACTCCAGAGGGACCAGTTCTGCCTATGGTGTCCCCGTGCCCTCCTCCGTGGAGTGTCCCCGGGCCACACTGAAGGCTGGGCAGACAGACATGTTTGCTCTGCTCAGAGGCAGTGTGGAGAGTGCTGGAAGGAAGTCTGGGTACAGCTCAGACGGGTCCAAGTCAAAGTTGTGTCCCCGTGGAGGCTAATTCCCCCCACCCCTGAAGCTGTGAAATAAACTTGGGTTGTATAAGAGGAGAACGGGGGCTAGGCGTCCATCACTCTTGGATTTCTCATCGTAGGTGTTGATGTGACCAACCGCTCCAAGCTCCTGTCTCCTCATTCCCCACCCATGGTGGACTATAAGCTTGAACTGTGAACCAGAATAAGTCCTTTCTCCCTAAGTTGCTTTGTCAGAGTATTTTATCATAGAAGCGGCGGGGGGGGGGGGGAATTAAGTCACTTCTACTTCCTGGCCCAAGCTCTGGGCACCTCCTTATTTCTTGGTTTTGGTGAGGTAGAATTTTAATTTTCCAAGCCAAAACTCCACGATTAGACAGGTAGCCCCTAAGAGGGATGGGTGTGGGGGGGGTCTGTGCTCTTGAAGGTGGCCTCCTGGTGGCCCATTGGCTAATGCCTGGGTCATGTCCACTGTCTCCTTTGTCCTCAATGCTCACCACATATCGATAGGATGAAAGGAGGCGAGGAGAGGTGTCCTGGCTGGCCCTGCTTGGGTCAGCAGCTCTGGCCAGAGGGAGAGGAGTCCACGTACCAACATTTGCTCCCAGGGTGTGGGCAACAAGTAGCAGAATGGAGGGCAGGATCATGGCGCCTGCTGTGCTGTATGCTGGAGGTTAGGAGGCTGGGCTGAGTGAATGGTGCCTGCTGGCTGTTCAGATGCCTTAGGCTAGGCAGGCTATCGATGTCATAATGGCTGTGTTGAGAACTCACATGAAGTCACGAAGACTCCTCTTAAATCATTTCCTTTCTGTGATGCCTCGCCCAGGACTTCATCCTTGAAGACTTTATCCCTAGAACTTCCCTTTCAGCCGGCCTGACTCCCATCCTTATCACCCAGCCTCTTTGGACACTGGGGTTTTTGGTCCTGTCGTAACTGTTTCTTCTAAAGGTCCACGAGCTTCCCTTTCTGGGGAGCCTATCACATTGAGTTGTCACCGCAAAAGTCAGGCCAGACTTGCAAACTGGCCGCCAGGCTGGGAGCTGGATGAACATGGCTGAGACAGCCATTCTTATAGACTAGGTAGCTACCAGAGTCTCAGCCTCTTTTGGCATGCTGATAGCCGTGATTGGACTACACAGCCCACACTGTGTACGTCGATCTAAGAAGTCCCATTTTTGATACGTATGTATGCACATTCTAGTGGTTATGATCCTCTGAAGAACCCTGATACACCTACCACCTATGACCACAACATAGGAAGTCTTTATCAGTGCCCCATGTTCCAGTGGGTGGAAAAACAGATGATGGGAGCAGAGCTATGGGACCCGGCCACACGGACCGAGGCTGCATGGTCCATAGAACACAGTCTCAATAGTCCATAGCTTCTTAAACTGAGGGCCATGACCCCTTAAGGGGCTCACGTAACTGAATGAAAATAAAAGGAGTAGTGATCTGAAGTGTTTCTGGCAGAGCTTGCCTGTGTGGCATTGTGTGACTTGGCCATGTCTGTGGCTTTGAAAGTACAACATGTATGCTTTGCATTGTACATGCCATGTTCCACAAAGTCAACCAATGCTGCCTTAAACTCAGATTCAAGACTGCATGTCATGGACTGTGGTGTGTTTCCTGCACCTACAGTTTTCTGCTCTTACAGAAACAGTTTCATGATGGGAAACAGAGACCTTTGATATTTTCCTGCCGTCATTTCTCTGCACATAAGTAGCACGTTAGGATAGCTTTGCATTGTATTGGGCTAGGATATTTGAGTTTTAAAAACTGCTGTTCAAGTTGCTGAGTCTCACAAATTGTTCGTTGAATTTAGTCTTGGGGTTAAGACAGAATTTCCAGTGACTTCTGAAAAGTCCCGTACTTCTGACATTTTGTTTATGTGAAGTTGCATTCTCAACACTGAGATTATAAAATAAAAATATTTATCAACCTTGAAAAACATGGAAGATATTTTGTCAAATGTTCAGCCAAGATTTTGGTTTTTTGAGAAAGAGTCTTGCTATGTAACCCCAGCTATCCTGATATCCATCTGCCTCTGCCTCCTGAGAAATGGGATTAAAGATGGATACCACCACACCTGATAAGATTTAATTCTTTATATAAAACTAAGCAAGCTCACCCATCTCTCTAATATACAAATTTGCTTTCATCTTTAGTAAATGGTAAAATCATGTGTATCCCAGAGTTGTTTTAAAATAAATACTATTTATATTAATAAAGGTTTGATTTGTATATATGTTTTATATACTTTGGTGAAAAGGTATCACAGATTTTTTTATTTTTTTTTTTTT